TTAGCTCCAACCCTAATCAAACACACCTGAACCAGCTAATCAAGCTCTTACTAGACATGCTAGAAACTTCCCGGCAGGTGTGTTGAGACAAGTTAGAGCTAAACTCTGCAGGACACCGGCCCTCCAGGACCGAGTTTGGGCACCCCTGCTCTAGACATTGTCACAAAATGTATTCATACCCTCCGTTCAGGCTACCGGCCCATTAATACCGCCCGCACACTCAACGCTATGTTTATCTTGGCCTTTTTTGGTTTTCTCAGATGTTCGGAACTCGCTATCACTTCTAAATTCAATTCAAAAGTCCACCCCACCATCTCAGACTTATCCGTCCTCGACAGTGATTAAATAATTAATAAAAAAATTATAGTGATTAAAAAAACAATCTCCATTTTGATTAAACAAAGCAAGACAGACCAAACTGTCCTCGCATACATCCAATTCAGAAACTCCCAGGCAAAATCCCCTCTTGAACCCCTTGAACCATTTCTAGACGACTCCAACAAACCTGTAACTCACTTTTGGTTCCAAAAACACCTCAAATCAGGGTAACTACTCCAGTCACTCTTTTCGCATCGGGGCAGCAACCTCAGCAGCTCAAAAAGGCCTCACTAAGCATCAAATCCAAGCTCTCGGGCGATGGTCTTCAGACGCTTTCAAAAGCTACATTAGGACCAATCGATTCCACATTAAAAAAGCCCATCAAACCCTCATTGACTAAATGATATAAAAAAAAAAAAAAAACCTTGGCTTGTCCGTCTGTCTACCGGCGAGGCTTACCCGTCCAAAGCCGTGAGTATTGAACTCCCGTCGGACGCTGCAAAGCTCTTGCGGCTGGCACTCCAATTTAGTTCAACCCACCCATCGGCCGGTAAAGTCCACCCATCTGACGCCGTGAGTTGCTCCCGTTAAAGCTACGTGGACCTTCCCGGTCAGTCGATTCAAGCCTCGTCCACTCCATCATCGACCAGTAGGGCTCACCTGTCCGACGCTGTGAGCTGCTCCCGTCAAGAAGCGGTGTGAGCACTCCTGATCAGGCTTCCCAAATCACGCTGCTCCTCGTCCATCATCTAGTGGGGCCCATCTTCCCAGCGCTGTGAGCTGCCCCGGGTCGGACATCCAACACGCTGCTCCTCCTTTACCGGTTGGTAGGGCTCACCGGTCTGACGCCACGAGCTGCTCTAAAATTCTTCCTGAAACGCCAGCCCGCCAAATTTTCGGCGCTCATTTTGGGGGGGATTATTCGTCGGGCGGCTGTCCTTTGCTCTGTACTCTGGGTTCGGGCCAAAATTCCGAGCTCGGAGCCCTCCCCTCGAACAGCACGCCAAATACGCATAACCTTTACTCTGTTTATTATATGTAAGTGAACTCGTGAAACACACACACACACACACACACA